TTTTAAATCCAGTTCTGCTAGTGTCTCAGCAGAAAAAGGCATTGCTGTTGTCAGAAACACGACAGTTACTGTTATCCTACATGGGCGTCCTTTAATACTAGAGCCCAGCGGAGGCTTCGCGCTGCAAAACATTTTTTTTTTTTTTATTTCTCCTCTTGCTACAGCATCTTTGGATGATTGGAAAAATTCTTTTTACATTTAAAGCAAGCTGCTAATGTGTGGCTTTTTCTGAGACAACTGCCTGAGTTTGCCAGTGCTGCTGTAACTCTCTGTCTTAACGCAGATTTGTTTCCAAAATGATCCTGGTATTTAGTAAGACAATTTGCATCAAAACTAAGAAGGAACAGTAACCGCTAAAAAAATCTCAAGCTGAATCTGGAAATTGCAGGCCCTGACTCTGATCTCATGGATTTCACACAGGTTTGATTTAATAGATCTGTGGCTTTGTAAAATCAACATAATTTGACTGATTTAAGAAAAAAAAAAAAAGACTATGAAAATTTGCATTTACTGAGGAGTCATAAAGTCAGTCCTCCAGATTCTTTGCTAGGGCTGGAAAACAAGAAATACCTTTGGCAATTTTTAAAAAAGATTTTGTCATGAAAAATGGAAAATCTGAAAGCCTTTAGAAACTTCCCCAAGATCTGCATGAAAACAAGGAGACTTCCGTAACCTAAAGCAGCCCCCAGCACAGTGATGGGAACACATGTATAGGAGTTAGGCAATTCTAATAAAAATCTAGGCATGGAAATTTTCATACTAGGGATTATGACTCTGAATTTCCTTCCACAAATTCTAACCAGGAATTGCCTTAACTAACCTGACATGTCTCCACAGAGAGTTGTCATTTCAGCAAACTGCTCCTTCCAACCAGAAATATCTTGCTGAAAATTTTTCAGACAGATTTATTTTATACACATGATTACTCAGAGATCATATTATTATATGGCATGTTTTAGCAAATACTTATTAAAAATAAAAGTCTTTTCCACAAGTCAGACTGCCCCAGGTCAATGTAAAACATGATTATAACCTGATTTTATTAAACTAATTCAAAGGACTGAGTGGACCTTTCCACTACAGTTTAAACCAAGTCAATTTTGATCTGTTTTAATATGATTAGGAACCTGCCACGTTTAAATAGAAATCAGACCACTGAAACAGGGTTACCAAATAGGTGCTAGCCTGGATGAAGACAAGGCTGATTCAATCACTGCTGATAACAGCTAAGGGTAGTCCGTGTCCCTTCTGAAGCTCCTTACAGGATTAAGGCATGTATGTGTTGGGAAGGATGTTACTCTTTGTTTATTACAAATTTTAACACATAACTAATAAAATAATAACCAAAATGCAAATCAATGTAATTAAACTGAAAAAAACCCTTCCATATTACCATTAAGAAAATCGAATTTATATATTTTTTTTAATCTCTAGGTGGGATCCCATGTTTCCAGTAAACCTCTTCCTCCTGCAGCTAATTCCCCTGGGCAGGATGGGTTGAAATATCAACGCTGGGCTCATCCTATAAATTACTGCCTTGAAGAAAAGCTTTTGGGTCTGCTTCAAATTCATCTGAAGTACCCAGAAATTCTCCATCGATTTCAACAAGCTTTGGCTCAAGCCTTTAATGCCCTGTAGTTAGCCTTACAATGCAAGATGAACTGGAGGGGTTTTCATTGACAAGCTTTCTAACAAAAGTCAACCGTGCACTTCCCAAACAAATGTGCTGAAAAAGAGTCAGAGAAACCATAACATAAATGTTGATTAAAAAAAAAGGCACAGGAAATATTTGTTATCCTTATTTATTTAATAAAGAAACATAATAAACTTGATTTTTTCCAGGTACAAACAGCTTAATATGTCCTATGATATTGGCTGATTTTTTCCTTGCTCTTTTCGTAGCTTGAGTGATTCATGTGGTAGCCTTTATTCAACAAATCAACAGAAAAAAATGGTAGCACTCACCATGCTTATAGACAGTGTGGGCCAACTATTGAGTTAGTGTCTTTAACTAAATCACTGCACCGGGAGGTTGTTGTATCATTGCTAGATTCGGATCGGCATCTCCATTAATAAAGATCTGCAAGTGAGGTTATTTGAAGTTTTTGAGTTGAGTTCTGCATACCATACAAAGACACCATTCCCTCTTCAGCTCTAAAGAAATGCGCCACAAAACAATAGAAAACCCAATAGAAAACCAACCTTCCAGTTACAAAGGTTTTGAAAGTAATTTACAATTCAGTTTTAGAAAGTTGCACTGTAAACATCTATAGTTAAGACCCTCTTTCAGATTTTTTTTGCATTATAATTTTTTTTTACAGGTTTTGGGTAGAAGACAGGACTGTTTGTAATTGCATCAGTACTACAGGGTCTCACAGCAATGACAGTGAAATGTTCAACGCAAGGGTGAAATGACCAGAGGAAGAGCTCTTCTCTAATATAATCACCGACCAGCTAATCATCCCATTACATCCCGTCCATTACTGGGCCTGACTTTTAATAAGAATATCAGTTGAATATTTTCTAATATAAGTTGCAAATAATTAAAATATTTTTAAAACTGCATGACCAACACCTCACTGCTGAGTGCAGGCTGGCTTTTTCCTTGGGTTTTGAACGGTTTATATCGTATGTGAAAAAATCATATAAGAAATGTTCCTTTTTCTTAGTATTTTTCCCTCTTTTTTATTCTAAAGCTTTAAAAGAAAAATAATTTTGCCAGTTGTCAGCCAATAAATGCTTGTTCAGCAAGCAATGAATGTACTATTTTCTAATTAAACAGTTTCATTATAGGCAGCAGCTCGTTGCTAATGATCAATAAATCCCATTGAGAAGAAAACATTTTAATCAGTAAGTCGTGTCCTCTGAGTGTCAGCCACTCTATAAACTCACAAGATACATATATATGTATAGATATACGTATGTGTGTATATATATATGCATATAAATATAAAAATCGCATACTCTTTCCGGGTGATATGTACAGTCAGAATAACATTACAGCATAAATACACAGGGAATCTGTATAAAGTTTCTCTAATTTGAGAAGCCTTGAGCAATTTTGGTTTTTTCGGGGGAGGCTAGGGTTGGGGAGGGAGGAAGGAATAAAGAGTGTTTTCACTTTAAGGAACGCAGAGTAGTTCCCTTAAGTTAGAATCTAATTACATACAAGATTTAAAGGCAACAAAACCTCCAGAGGAACAGCCCTATGTTACACACCATAGACATGGGGTTAAAAGGGCAAGAGAGCATGATTATAATAATACTTATATAGTACGTTTCATTCCCTTATAGCACTTTGCAACCAGAAAGTCTTACAACACCCCTGTGAGGTAGGTAAGTATTATTATCCCCATTTTACAGATGGGTAAACTGAGGCACAGATGGGTTAAATTATTTGCCTAAAAATCATGTAGTAAGGATCAGGAATAGACCCCAGGAATCCTGATGGCAAAACCTCTGAATTAACCAGTAGACCACTCTCAAGTGAATGCCTGAGACACCTCTCAATGAATGGAGAGAATATATTAGCCCATATTTACACAGATATATCGTCATCCTCTTGACATGTTGTCTCTACATATTATGACTTGTTTAGAGGACAGATAACAATGGCCATAGTTAAACTTGACTGTAACATGTCGCTTTAATTCTTGTTGCCAACCCCATGTGGATTTTGACTCCTTTACAATCTGGGATGTAACTAAATGTCAATGACAATACACCTTAAATACATTCTTGATATCTTTGCTTCTCCAAGGTGAAAAGCACAATTACTCTTCCTTAAAGTGCAATGGCTCATTACAGAAATCTCAAGATTTTCCATGAAGCCCAAGCAAACCCAAGTACAATCAGTCTGAAGGTGAAAAAGAAAGAATTTGTCTGTAATGATGGACTTGCCTCTATATTCCGTAAATACTTTCTGGCATTCTATCAAGACTGAAAATTTAATAATAAATAATAATCTATGTTAGCACGTAAAACCTCTAATACTTTTCTACAGCCACACATCCACCTTTCACCCCACTGTCATTTCTTTGGCCTGAAGCTGATGGACACATCAACTGTAAATACTACTTTGCCTACAGGAATGAGGATATATCTATTTTTTAGTAGATTCTTTTTATTTGTTCCTGCATTTCTTGTCCTTCCCCAGCAATCTAACGTTACCATCTGAGAAAATGGAAGATGGACACTGAGTAGAAAGGATTCAAAACCTCAAAATTTACATACAGATCCAGAGGCAATTCCCCTCCCACCTTCTTGATCACACTGTAGCAGCCATTCTGCATGATCCAATTGGCGTTGTTTTTATTAGTAGCAGCAGCAGCAGCAGCAGCAGTAGTAGTAGTATTTTTTGAGTAATATTGATGCGCGGAGTTTCCAATAAGGCTGCTTAGCTCAGTGTTCCTGGGGAAAACGTAACCTATCCCACTACCTTAACAGAAACTGCCAGCGTAGATGGTGCTTTGGAGCACTACACACAAACGTGATGCACTACTTCTATGGCGAGTTTGACTGCGGTATTCAAAGCAGATTCTTGAAACATACTAAAAAATTAGTGCTTTTATTAACAGTTTTACAAACAGAATCAATTACTGTCTAGTTTCCTGAAGGATAGAACAAGCCATTTCTCTCATTATTTTGACATCATTTCCTTCTCTGTATTTTTGTATTTCTGCTGATGAGCAGTTGCAAGTCCCAAGAGGGAGGGCTTAGTGTAATAAACAGTTAAAATGTTGCTAATTTGATAGTTTACTTTGCAACAACTTTCCTCTTCAAATGATGGGGATCCCGCAAGTTCCTATTACCTTGACTCAGAGTTCATCATGAAGAGTGTAAGCATCATTAATCTCCATGGAAAAAGAGACTTTTTTTTTTTGTTAAGTAAAAAAATATCAAATATAATAAATTTATGAAAGACCATTCACAACATATACAGTAAGTGTTACATTTTGCTACAGCAGCTGTGATATTTTTTTTTCTTTTTAGAATGCAAGGTCATACATCGCCATAAGTAAACACACTAATATGAGTAAGACCTTAAATGAATGTATACAGCCAGGCTTTATCTGTGGATAGATATACACTGTGTTTACTGTTTTACAGTCTAGCATATTCTTATTCACACCATTGATATAACAGCTATGACCCTGCAAAAATTCTTCCTGTGCATATATAAATATAAATATTGAGCCAAGTCAAAAAGAGCAGGGTCAAAGGTTATATGACTTATTAGATTCCTGTAGTTAAGGGTAAAAACTCCATTGTTTCTTTTGCAACTAATTTTTAATAAGAAGGCTGCTTCAATCATTGTGTAGTTACAGCATTACATTCTGTAAACAATATTTTAAAGCATTCTAAACAAACATTTAAACAATTGATTCTTTATCCTTGTCAGGCGAGAGAAGACAATCTATAGCCTCATCGCTTTTGCTCGAGTCCGTCATCTTCAGCTGGAGATTATCACTCGTACCTCTGGTGACGCTGTCATAGGATGGAGGGAAAGACGTGGAGGACAGAGTTTCTGATTTGTCTATTGGCCTGCCGTAGTTTTCGTTCATCATGAACGCAATAAGACCCTCCTTCTCAGGTGCATCGTCCTCAAGGATGCTGCCGTCAAAAGTTCTGTGCCGGTACAAGTAAGATGCCTGCTTCATGGAGCGCCGAAACAAATGTCTCCTGTAGGCCCGCTGGATGACAATGGCAGAGACCTCTTCTTGTTTCCGTCTGAGAGTTGTTGTAATCGGTTCGTAAGAGATCTTAGATGGATTTGCCGCCATGAACTTTTCTTCCATCTGTATTTTAAGGGCATCCATCTCTCCAGATTCTCCTAGCACCCTTTTTGTAAAAGCAAACAAAATATCCAAGCAATGGATCCTGTCTCCACTGACCATGGGCAGGTCCATTGCTATGAGTTTGATTTTGTTTGGTTTCGCTATGCGCAAAGGTTCTGACAGTGCATCTGCAAAGTCTGAAAGTGCAGAATACTCAATAAACTGAGTGGCTTCAGGGTCAAACTTCTCCCAGATTTCATAGAACATATCAAAATCATCCTCGCTTAGAGGCTCTGTACTTTCCTCAGTGGCTACACTGAAGTTCTCTAAAATAATGGCTATATACATGTTTACAACAATGAGAAATGATATAATGATATAAGTAACAAAGAATAAAATCCCTACGGCAGGGCTTCCGCAGTCTCCCTTTGAACCATTTGCATTCGGAAGGTTTGGGTCACAATACGGTGGTCCAGTGTTTAAAATAGGATTGAGAAGACCATCCCAGCCCGCTGACGTTGTGATTTGGAAGAGACAGAGCATGCTGTTAGCAAAGGTTTGGAAGTTGAACATGTCATCAATCCCATACTCCTTCTTAACATAGGCAAAGTTAGCCATGCCAAAAATGGCATAAATGAACATAACCAGAAAAAGCAAGAGGCCAATGTTGAACAGAGCAGGTAGGGACATCATTAAGGCAAACAGGAGAGTTCGAATTCCTTTGGCTCCCCGGATGAGTCTTAGGATTCGGCCAATCCGAGCCAAGCGAATGACTCTGAAGAGTGTAGGAGAGAAGAAATATTTCTGGATGATGTCGGAAAGTACGGTGCCTTGAAAAGAAAAGAGACAAGACAGTGAATTAGCACATGGGAAATAACCCCAGACTTCCCTTTAAAGCTATCAGTAACGACTATGGACAAAAATCAGTGAAAAGTTCCCCAGATTGGAAGACCCATGATAGTGGGAATGGCATTGTCCTTAGTGTTTTCATGCCCATTTAATCCATGCAAACTTTGTTGAGACTGAGCAAAGGTGTCAATGGCAGCAGTTTTATTAAGGGAAAGCTTGTCTATTGGGAAGGAGAAACCAGGATCAACTCAGATAGGACACAAATATCTGCAGCTTTTGGCCATGACCCACCTGAGAAATTTATCCTGAGGGCAGCTGTTCAGAATTTTTCTGATATGACAATATCTTTTTCTGTAAAATATTTGTGAGTCAGCACTGAAACGCTGGTGTGCTGGGCCTCTTTTTCTGAGCCAACACCAGTGCAGTGCAGGTTTCTACTGGAAATATGCTTGGTTGGTTGTTTGCTTATCAATTTTTCCAGTTTTCCTGATGGGCTGGGAGGGAACTAAGGGCTAAGACTAGCAAGGAAATGAGCTTGCATCCCTGTAGCTAAACTCTTCCTACAGAAACAGAGCAGCTTGCTCCAGACTGCCTAATTCCAACAGACCCAGGCTGCACTGAGCTGTGCTGAGCTCACGTCCCCCCCTCCAGCCTGGGAGAGGGCTCACTGGCATGGCCAAAGTCCTCTGACACTGAAACAACCTGGTTGATCACGGGGCAGCACTGTGACCAACATGACAGCTCTGGTTAACTGGCTGCTATGGGCATATCCAGAGCATCCAGCATCAAGGCTCTGATGACGGAGCTGTGTTGTAGTGATGTTCCCTGGGTGACCCAAATCTGTGAAATCCAGGTGGTCCAAGGCTCCCAAAGCACAGGCTGCTCTCTGGGCACCAGAGATCTCCTGCATTGGGATCTTGCAGGTTCCCCAGTCCACCAGAGAGAGTTCAGAGCAACAGGACCATCAGTCAATGAGAAGATGGCTCTGTTTTCCTAACATGATGCTTTTTCATTCACCTATTCCCTCCTTCAAAATGGAAACTCTTTTGGAAGACCTGAATTTCTGAGTTCCTTCTGCTCACTGGATCAGTTGATCATCTTCCAGTTGCTACTGTATTTCCAACTTCAATGCAAACTCTTTTGGCAGGATTTCAGATTCACATTTGACCTGCACTTCTGCAGCACCTAACATATGATCTATGGCTGGGGCTGCAGAATAGCAAAAGGCACAAATTAACAATAAACTGTGTTTTTCTGTTTCATCTTTTGGATATACGAGGGTGTGGACCTCTAGTGGCAACAGGGCTGAGAACAGCCAGATTCACTGCACCTGCCCAAACCTGCCATGAAGGGCTATTTCACACTGATGTAAAAGTAAAAAGCAAAACAACAGCAGCCTGCACGTACCCTTTTCATGTGGCTTTTTTACTTCTCTGTCTTTGGCTGTACTGCAGAACTGGGGTTAAGTGTACGGTGCCAGTTCTGGACCATGTTTTATCACCAGGAACCATTAAGTGTACATTGAAACCAATACTGTGGCATGACAAACCTCATCATTTCACTGATCACACAAGTTATTGTTAGGCGGTATTATGTTGTATTATTTAAATATTAAAAAAAATATGCTTAGGATCTAATTCTCTGAGTTGAAAGTGTATTTTATTGCATGAAGCCTTCAACTTTGCCTAATTAAATTTATATCTGCCTTTTTAACTTTGGTGTTTGGGTGAAAATCCAGATTCACCTACCTACGATAGACAGAATCACGACGACAAAGTCAAATATGTTCCATCCATTGGTGAAGTAGTAGTGTCGCAGAGCCAGCATTTTGATGATGCACTCCCCAGTGAAGATGGCAACAAAAAGCATGTTGATTTTATGGAGGATGTTCACTTTTTCTTGACTTTGGTCATCTGTTTCCACCATCATGGTAACCATGTTAAGGCAGATGAGGATCATGATGGAGACATCAAAGGCTTGTTTTGAGACGACATCAAAAATAAAACCTTGGTATTTGTTCTAGAGGAAAGGAGAAGATTTAGTTAGGAAATTTGAACTGTGTCAAAATGATGACATCACTGTCTCCTGATTGATCAGAAAGTAGAGGAAAATAGACAATGTACTGCTTCTGATTAGAACTTCATAAAGATGATGACGAATGGCTGGATGATAGTGTTTTCAAACCCATTTACTCCTAATGCTTCTTGGAACTACTGAAAAAAGACCTTGGACTGGGGCCATGAATTCATTCAATGCAGGCATGTGGCCACTGCCATAACTGCATATGCAAATTGGACGCTTGGTCAATATTGTAGAACAATGGGAATTCTTTACCACACAGGTCACTGCACTTGCAAATACTGTCCAAAATCAAAACGTGAATACTAAGTGGCTTTCATGTGGGAGTGATCACCCTTCCTACACCAGGAAGTTGAATTGCATTCATTCTATTAGATAAATATTCAGCTCAGATAATTCAACTGAATTATGCCATTCTTACCAGTGGCCTTGGGATTGGCTTTTGAGGTTTCTTAGATCCCAGCTTTTTCATTGCATTATAATACTTTTTCTGTTCTTCTGTCATAAAGATGTCTTGGCCACCTAAGTATAGGGTGAGAACAAAGCTATTACTTTTGATGAAAAGAGCTCTACTGCCTCCATCCAAAGTGCAGGGCTGCCTCCTCTTCTATTTACTTATTTTCCTTTTCATGTAGCTTTCATCAAAATATCTAAGAAGGGCTTGATGAGATGCAGTGTTGGGAGCTGCTTAGTGCGTGGAGGTGAAGGGCAGGAGACACAGAGCATCACAGACAACCAAGCAAGAGCAAGCCTCAGGTTCTGTTTGCAGTTAAGGTAAGTCCAGGGCGAGAAGGAAAAACAGAAGAACCTCATGACTTTGTTTAGAGCCTACAAAGCAGTGAGAAACATAGCTCTCAGGCCAGGATGCTCCCCCCTGACCCTTACTGTACCCCAGGGTGGGGACGTGATGGGTTGAGGAGAAGAGGTTGAACCACTCTGAAGGACAGTGGTATTTGTGCATGGGGCACACCAGGGAAGTCTGTGCCTCTGCGGCAGAGTTTGTGCCAGAGATCCCATCTGCGTGGAGCCGCTTCACTGCTTTCTGCGGGGAATATAACCCCCCAGCCTGTATTTTCAGGACGCTCACCCTATGGGGTGATGAGGGGCTGCTGCAACTGTGCTCGTGTAAAAGTCCTGCAAGACGGTTTCTGTGGCTGTCCTGTCAATGCCACTCTCAAGGCTAACATGGAAAAGCCGCTGCCTATAAATCTATCCCTTGCCCTGGACTCTGCGGCAATCACAAGGTGCTGTGTAGCATATGCACTACTTATCTTTTTCTTTTGTTGGTTAAAATTGTCAATGATGACACCAATGAAGAGGTTCAATGTGAAGAAAGACCCGAAGATGATGAAAATCACGAAGTACAGGTACATATATAAATTACATTCCCATTCAGGCTGCTCCTCACACTGCAAAGGGAAAAGGGAAGAGGTGAAAATGACACCATCTCTGCACATATCACAATATTAATGCAGTTAAAAAAAAGTTATACTTTAGCAATGAAGATTATGAAACAGGAAAAACAGTGTAACTCCCACGAGCAGAGTCAGCGCTCCTCGGTCTCTGTTTGAAGTTTACTACTAGCATCTGCAATGCCACGGTCCTTTCAGCGACATTTCACAACACAGTCACAGCAATCACACTGCTTCAGAAAGTGCAACTTCAGAATAAATCCTATAAAATGTTCTCAGTCTGAACCCAGAAGGGAGAAAGAATCAATTTTCTGATTATCCCTTATCTTATATGAACTAATGGTACTTATAAGAAGCAAAAGTATGATCGCAGTATAATTAAATGCTTCTGAAAAACACTGTATTGAGAGTCAGTATATTTAGAAGTACAACCTTTCTTTTATGAAAAGTAAAAACGAACAAGATCTCTTGCTGAAGGACTGAGCAATGCAGTCCAATAGCCTCAAATCACAGGTATCACGTTTGGCAAAACTGCTCAGATTTGCCCCACCAGCTCCAGGTATCTAACCAAGACGCCAGAAGCTCGCATTTCCCTAAATGCTGCATTTTCTTGTCTGTAACCCATGCGTGTCACTCAGCAGCACGGAGGATACACACAGGTGTACATGTAGTACAAAAGTAAATCAGCACCATGAGCTATGTTGTGCAAAGGTAATTCTCTGTCCCTATGATGCCATGAGGTTTTTCCACTCTTGATGCCTCCGTCTAGGGCTCAACTCCCTGTTACTCAACTCAGCCTGTCAAATTCCCAGTACCAGACAGCTACCTCAAAAATTAACAGTAAGTGTAATCTTGTTCCTTTAATAAAAAGAGGAACAAGAGGGAAAAAGAGGGAAAGGAGCCACCAGGTCCTTCAGTAAAAAATAAACAAACCACATGTGATGTAGGAAGGGAAATGCCTTTTTTTGTGTGTTTTGTTTTTAAGGAAACCTGAAAGCTGAACGGGATGCAGGTAAGATCTGGGCAGTCACAAGTCCCCAGAGCTCCAGCACATCTCAAGCCAGAGCTGGAAGCTCAGCCCAGCCTCTTTGCCT